CGACAAAGTGTCCCCAATTATCTACCAGATAAAAATCAGTAAAGGCCAAAAAGAGCCAACTGTTAAATGGGTACACCGTAACCAGGTTAAACAACACAAGGCGTGCAACAACTCCTCAGGAGACAAAGATCTCACAAAATCTGACCTCGTGGGAATAAGGGTCATCCAAGCAGAAGATAACTAATGGATAATAAACTTAACCATAGTTTAAATTCACAGGACCTACCCTTGACCGTTACGAAGCTAAGACCTATCTCTTTGTGTTTCCATAGGACAATGATGATACCACTACTGGTAATCTTCACCCTCTTGACTCACACCCAAGAGATCAAAGCCCTCGTAATAGCGGTAAATGAGTTAGCCCTTAAGGTTGAAGCGGATTACGCTGTCGCACACCTAATGGATAGGATTTTTGCTGACATGCTTAGAGATATCAGTTCGTCGGTAGATACACTAGCCACCGGTAGGATCCCACCGTATCTAGTCTCTCTACAGATGGTGAACGACATCCTCAGCTCCGCTACGCACGAAAAAGTTACGCAAACACAGGCACACCTGGCTTACACTCTCGGTAGCGCAATCCCAATCTACGTCAATCACAAAACATTTGAAATGGCGTTCATTATCAACCTACCGATAATTCCCTCAAACGGCATATATAGACTCAGGGACGTCGTAAATGTTGGCAATTGGCACGGCGAAAACCATGTTCAAATTGACACGCCAAGGATGGTTGCGTACCACGACGACAACCCCTCCGTTTACCTAGCTCCAACCCTGCAGATGTGTGTTCTCACTCGGGAGATACACTATCTGTGCCCGAGCAAACCGTTTATGTGGAATAAAACCGCGGGCATATGCGGATTAACACCTATTCCGGAAAATTCTAAGTGCTCAACGACCGTAACGCCTCGACACCTGGCTAAAGATGCAAAAGCGGAAATAATTGGCTCTCGTTGGCTAGTGAACGCTCCTCAAAGACAGGCGATCATAGCCTACGATCAACCCGGGGCAAATAGACCTTTGGCGTTACCGGACAAAACGATGTGGATCAGTGTTCCCCAGGGAACAACCATACACATTGGTGATTTGACGCTCTATCACCTCGATCCGGAACGATGGGACACGACTCTGGATGACTCAGAGTACCTGAGAAATATGTCTATAGACATAGATCCAGAGACTCTGGGAAGGATCCGTTTTGAAGGCACCCAAGTCGTCGACGTGGAACCAATAAACCAAGTTCTCAAGTCCCTCAGGTCCACAACTAAGAACCCGATCCAACCAATTAACTATGCGTGGTCGAGCGCGGACACATTAATCATAGCCCTGCTAATGACGATAACCCTCGTATTGTGTGGGATACTCGCATCCCTGTCCCGGGGCCAAACGTCACTCCGAGTCGACGTGGATCGCCATGCAGCGCACCTCGATATGATTATGCCTCGCGTAAGCGGGTCCGCAAAGAAGCCACTCACACGGGACAGCGCGACTGAAACTGACAACCAGGGTGAGGAGGAGCAGTGAAACGATGTTTCTAGATGCTTAGTCACTACTCTTGTCGGTGTTGAAACGTTGTTTAGTTGATTTTGGTTGTTTCTGAGGTAAGAATGTATCTTGTGTGTAAGTTAAGTTAGAGACTAAGAGGCCTTTAACCATGCCAACATGCAGTTCATTCGCTAAATTGCAATCCTTGCGGAGTCAATGTATATTATTGTTACCTTAAGTACCATAATCTACATTGGTCTCACATCGCTTAAGCCGAACCTACTCGAACAATTCTATTCGGGGGGATAGCTAATTCTTTTTGATAAGTCTCGCCATAGACTTCCAAAACATTTATGGGAAACCAAACACCCAATCTCAAGTCGTTCGTCTAAAAGACAACAGACATTTGAACCAAACTATATTTTGCCATGTAAAGCTAACTTAAGCCAAGTTAGAAATGGAAAAATAGTTTGGAACCCTTTTCTATAGGCTTAAACCCCTGTAGTACCCCTTTTCAGCATGCTCCACCCCTTAACTGGTAGTCGTAGCTGTTCTCAACCATAATAGCTTACACACCAGGTGCATATAGTTTAAGGCCTTATGTAAAATCCCCTTCATAAGCCCACCTTGAACCACATAATTGCATGACACATTGAACCAGAACGGCACAGGCTGGACGTCGCTGGAGACGACCTTCGCTGGAGGCGACCTGCAATCCTGACGTTGGTCTCCACTCTTCATCCGGTGGCCGCTTCTTCAGTTCAATCCAAGGGTACCCCTCTGTATGCTGATTAATCAACTCTTCCAATCGTTGTGGATTTACCATTGTGGATTATATGACTTTTTCCAGTGGATTACAGACTCTGTTTCCAAGGGGTTAAAGCATTGCTACAATGGAGTATCGAGACGATATGGAATTATAATCAACACAATGGAATTACCAAGAACATTGTGGAATTACCTTGACTTTTGTTTTCCTTGCTGGATTACTTTTGACTTTTGTTTTCCTTGCTGGCTTACTTTTGACTTTTGTTTCCTTGCTGGATTACTCTTGACTCTTGTTTCTTTGCTGGATTACATCAAGCTTCAAGGACAATCGACGACGTAAGTCCATAGTTGGAATTCATCTCCATGGACAGGTGATGATTTCCAAAGGGGGGACTGTAGTGGACTAAGCCTACGTCGAAACCCAGTCTAAGGTCAAAACTCTTGACCTTTAGAACCTTGTGGGACAGAAGCTGTCATTTCATGTATTTGACTCCATAAATACAGGTTCACCCATCCTGAGACTTTCTTTCTTGAAGATTCAAGTGAAAAGAACACTCTCTTTTTATTATCATTACTATCTTACAAATGTTGATAATCAAAGTGTCTTAGTTCAAACCATTTTAGATGTTGCAGTGAACTAATCAATTTTATTAACTGAGTAATGATTTTATTCTCATGTTAAAAGCTGTGCAGAGTTTATGCATTTTTCTGATTTCTGCTTTTGAATGAGCAAGTGTGTGCGTTTACAAGGTTACAGTCAAACGAAAAACAAGTTGTTATGTTAAAACTGTCATGTTTTAGAATCCTCTCAGACGTAAATAGAGATGTTTTGCACCTGTTTCTTAAGGCACGCCAAAACAGAACCCTCTCGGTCTGTGAGAACATTTCTGAGCTGTCTCATAACAATTCTCGCTGTCTCTAACCTCTTACGTCACAAAAACACACCCCTTCTGGTCGTTTCTGACCAATGAAAAATCCCAAAAAGTGAACCGGGAAAGAGCCTTTAAAATGTCAGTACTTCCTGGTTTACACGAACTCACAGGGACACGGAGAGACACACAGGTACTCAGAGTTGGAGAGTTGTCAGACTTCTAGAGTTCTGGAGTTCTGATGGAGTGCTGTTGGAGTTCCTGACATGACAACGAAGCTCTTCCGAGTTCCATGGGATTATAACATTTTCCACTGAGGTGAGCTGTGGCTGACAGAACCTCGCAGCTACTCCGGACGAGTAACAGCATCCTACGGAGACGCTGAAAGGGTGCGTTAAACGGAATCTCGCCTGAGACATCTCCAGGTAAAAGAGTCGTTTTCACCACCTAAGTGTACTGTGAGGAAAAGCTGAAGAAAGCCCGGAGAGTGCCGTTCTGTTCAACACTCTACCTCAAACACCATCTTTCTCCCCTTTAAACTTCATCTTTCATCTTAAACTTTTCTATCAAGTAGAAATTCTCCCAGATATTTAGAAATGTCTGTGTAAAGTGCTTACCCACATTCATGTGGGTAAAAGATCATAGTTGTACAGTTATAAATGTCTGTTGGTGCAGCAACGGAAAAATCATGGCCGTATGATTTTTCCTGATTGATTGCTTTGTTGTTATTTTCATAATTTGCCAAATTAATGTAAATGTTTGATGTTAAATTTGATTCTGTAAATAAATGACCGCATTCATTTTGATGGGTCAAATTTAAATGACGTCTCACTTTGCATTTCCTTAAATTCAGTGCACGTTTTATTCAGTCCAGAAAAATGAGGAACTCGCGTTAAATGATGAATATATCCCAGCATCTGTTCATCTACACCTGTGATGTCCAGGGTGTACCCCGCCCCTCGCACAGTGATTGCTGGACATGGGCACCAGCGACCCCATGACCCAAAATGGAAGAAGCGGGTAAAAGATGATGGATGGATGGATTTACAAATCTCAGTCTCTCACCACATGATAGTTTGCTGCCACAGAACACCTGTAGCGACCATTGAAGCTCTTCCTTCTTTGGTATAGCTCATTTCTGAACTGAATGCAACAAAAGTCTGGCTGATTTGAACTGGGACTGGTTGCAACGAGTTTTAGCCCAATTTAAAGCTCAATGGGATGCTTTAAATTTGGTTCATTTAGTTGGTAGTCCAAAAAAATCATCACTGATTGACCTCATATTGACAAATGTTCCTCTGAAATATACTACTGTTTCTGTGTTTGCTGATGACCACTATGTCATCGCTACAATGAAAAACACTGTATTATCATAAATATAAACCTGTACTACTATAAATACAATAAACAGTAATAACATAAATACAAACATACATCCATCCATCCTCTTTACATGCTTCTTCCTTTTTGGGTCGTGGGGTCACTAGTGCCCGTATTTAGCAGTCACTGTGTGAGAGGTGGGGGACACCCTGGACAGGTCTCCAGTCCATCACAAGGACACAAAGAGGCAAACAAGACAAACAACCATTCACTCTCTCACTCTCACCTAGAGACAATTTAGAGTTACCAGTCAGTCTAACATGCATGTTTTTGGTCTGTGGGAGGAAACTGGAGTACCCGGGGAAAACCCACGCATTCACGGAGAGAACATGCAAACTCCACCCAGAAAACTATATAATGCAAATTCAAGGTAAGAGATCACAAAGATGCTTGGTTTAAACCCTCCTATATGCTTTATCCAATACCAAGAATCCCTGACCTGGAGTCGGATCTAAACCAGCCACTAGGGAGCACAAGCCAGAGTATCTCTTGTGCTGGTCCCAAGCCCGGGTAAATGGTGAAGGTTGTGTCGGGAATGGCATCAGATGTAAAACACTTTTGCCAAAACAATAATGCGAGTTCATGGAAGCAAAACCATACCGAATCGGTCAAGGTTTGACTTAACAACGACCGCCACTGGTGCTGTTGACAAACAAGGTGCCAGCAGAAATTGTGTTATTGTTAGTCAAAGACCACGAGGAGGGAAACATGTAAGGAGACAGATGAAGAAGAGGAAAGTCAAGAATGTAGGACTGAGGGTTGCAACTATAAATGTGGGGCAATGACAGGCAAACGTAGAGAGCTGGCTGACATGATGCAGAGAAGGAAGGTAGATGTTTTGGGTCCAAGAGACCAAGTGGAAGGGCAGCAAGGCTCGCAGCATTGGAGCAGGGTTCAAACTGTTTTTCCATGGTGTGGATAGAAAGAGAAAAGGATTAGGGGTGGTCCTGAAGAAGGAGTTGGCAAAGAATGTAGTAGAGGTGAAGAGAGTTTCAGATAGGGTGATGTGCCTGAAGGTAGAAGGTCTGATGCTAAACATTGTCAGTGGTTATGCTCCACATGTTGGATGTGATGGGGAGGAGAAAGATACATTTTGGAAAGATCTGGATGAAGTGATAGAGAGTATTCCCAGGAAGGAAAAAGTTGTGATTGGAGCAGACCTGAATGGACATATTAGTGAAGGAAACAGAGGGAATGAGGAAGTCATGGGTAGGTTTGGTGTCAAGGAAAGAAACCAGGAAGGACAGATGGTAATGGATTTTGCCAAAAGGATGGAAATGGCTGTAATCAACACCTTTTTCGAAAAAAGGGAGGAACATAGAGTGACATATAAGAGTGGAGGAAGGAGTACGTAGGTCGACTACATTCTGTGTAGAAGAGAAAACCTAAGGGAGATTGGGGACAGTAAGATTGTGGCGGGGGAGAGCGTGGCCAGGCAGTACCAGATGGATGTGTGTAGAATGACTGTTATTGTGAAGAAGAGAAAGCATAAAATCAGAGAAGACCAAATGGTGAAATCTGAAGAAGGAAGAATGTTGTGAGAAATTCAGAGAGTGGCTGTTAAAGGCTCTGTGTGGTAAGAAAGAACTTCCAAATGGCTGGACTACTACAGCAACAGTAATTAGAGTGACAGGTAGGAAGGTACTTGGTGTGTCATCTGTACAAAAATGGATGATAAGGAAACCTGGTGGTGGAATATTGAAGTGCAGGATGCCGATCAAAAGAAGAGGTTAGCCAAGAAGAAATATGACCATACCATATCATACCACTTTATTTATAGAGCACTTAAAACAGTGACAAGGCCAACCAAAGTGCTGTACAGACAAAACAACAGGTAACACACAAAGCAAAATACAAAATGAGGTAAATCAGAATATAGACATAAAAAACGATGCAGATAATGACAACAAACCAGTGTGGAGCATACAGGATCAACAGTGACAGTGGGAGGACTGAAGAGAGGAGACAGGAATATAAGGAGATGGGACATAGAGTAAAGAGGGAGGTAGCTAAGGAAAAGCAGAAGGCATATGATGAGTTGTATGGGCGGCTGGACACTAAAGAGGGTGAAAAGTACGTGTACCAATTGGCAAGACAGAGGGATCAGGCTGGAAAGGATGTGCAGCAGGTTAGGCTTGTTAAAGATAGGAATGGTAATGTTCTAACAAGTGAGGAGAGTGTGACAGGAAGATGGAAGGAGTACTTTGAAGAGGTAATGAATGAAGAGAATGAAAGAGAAAGAAGAGTAGAGGTCATAGAAACTGGACCAGGAAATGGGAAAGATTAGTGAGGGTGAAGTCTGGAAAGCTCTGAAAAGAATAAAGATGGGGAAGGCAGTAGGACCTGATGACATACCAATGGAGGTTTGGAAATGTCTTGGAGAGATGTCAGTGAAGTTTTTCACTCATATATTCAATGGCATATTTGAGGGTGAGAAAATGCCTGAGGAATGGAGAAGAAGTGTGCTGGTGCCCATTTTTAAGAACAAGGTTGATGTACAGAGTTGTAACAACTACATGGGAAATTAAGTTGATAAGCCACACAATGAAGATCTGGGAGAGAGTTGTGGAAACAAGACTTAGATAAGACGTAACTATCTGTGGGCAGCAGTGTGGTTTCATGCCAAGAAAGAGTACCACAGATGCCATCTTTTCTTTGAGAATGCTGATGGAGAAGTACAGTGAAGGTCAGAAAGAACTCCATTGTGTCTTTGTAGATTTTGAAAAAGCATATGGCAGGGTGCCGAGGGAAGAGGTGTGGTATTGCATGAGGAAAGAGTGGCAGAGAAGTATGTTAGACTGGTACAGGACATGTATGAGGACAGCAGGACAATGGTGAGATGTGCTGTAGGAGTGACAGATAGCTTCAAGGTGAAGGTGGGATTGCATCAAGGATTGGCTCTGAGCCCCTTCTTGTTTGCTCTTTTGACAGACCGACTAACAGATGAGGTCAGGCAGGAATCCCCATGGACTATGATGTTTGCAGATGACGTGATCTGTGGTGAGAACAGAGAACAGGTGGAAGAGAACGGAGAAGTGGAGGTATGCACTTGAAAGAAGAGGAATGAAAGTCAGCCGCAGTAAGAGTACATGTGTGTGAATGAGAGGGAGGTCGGTTGCTACAAGGTTACAAGGAGCAGAGGTCAGAAAGGTGCAGGACTTCAAGTACTTGGGGTCCACTGTCCAGGAAAATGGGGAGTGGGGTAAAGAGGTGAAAAAGAGAGCCCAGGAAGGATGGAGTGAATGGAGAAAAGTTTCAGGAGTGATTGTCAAAAAATGGTCAAAGGAAAAGCTTACAAGACAGTGGTGAGACCAGCTATATTGTACGGTTTGGAGACAGTGGCATTGACAAAAAGATAGGCGAAAGAACTGGAAGTGGCAGAAATTAAGATGTGGTTCTCCTTAGGAGTGACAAGGATGGATAAGATTAGGAATGAGATCATCAGAGGTACAGCACCGGTTGACCAACTGTGAGATAAAATTAGAGAGGCCAGACTGAGATGGTTTGGACATGTCCAGAGGAGAGACAGTGGGTATATTGGTAGAAGGATGTTAGAAATGCAGCTGCCAGGAAAAATACAAAGAGGAAGGCCAAAGAGGAAATATATGGATGCAGTTAGAGAGGACATGGAAGTAGTTGGAGTGAGGACAGAAGATGCAGAGGACAGAGTGAGATGGAGGAGGATGACTCGCTGTGGTGACCCCAGAAGAGTGAAAAGCTGAAAGAAGAAGAAGTTCTGGAGTCTAGTCTGTCGGCAGCAGCTTGAGCAGGGAGGTCTAGACATATTTTTCCACAGATCTTTTCTTTGAGCACACCCTCTGATCCCCTTTGGTGAAGAGGGGAACCACCACCCTGTCTGCCAATCTCATAGCACTGCCCCTGATGTCCACACAATGTTGCAAAGGTGTGTCAACTAAGCCAGCCCAGCAATATCCAGAGCCTTGAAGAACTCAGGTCAGATCTTGTTAGTAACGTGTTGCCTTCCTTGTCTCAGCTGCCTAATGGTTTGTAAGGATCTCCTTAGAGACAACTAAGAGTCTCTATCCAAGGCCGCACTGAACTCCTCCCACATCAAAATTTTTGCCTCACCAACATCCAGGGCAGTAGCTGTAGGGGTATCGGTGGGCTACATGGCCCACCGATACCGCTACATGGCCCACCGATACCCCTCAGCTGCCTTTAGAATACTACCAGCCAACAAGGCCTGATAGGACTCCTTCTTCAGCTTGACAGCCTCCATAAGCCAGTATGTCCACTACAGAGTTCAAACATGGTGTTTGTGATGGACAAACTGTGACTAGCATAGAAGTCCAATAACAGAACACTGGTTTGGTTCAGATCAAACAGGCTGTTCCTCCCAATCACACCCCTCCTGGTCACACTGTTGCTACCCACATGGGCATTGAAATCCCCCAACATAATAAAGGAGTTCCCAGCAGGAGCACATGACAGCACCTATGTTAAGGACTCCCAAGAAGGCTGAATACTCAAAATTGCTGTTTGGCATGTAGGCACATATAACAGTCAGAGCCCATTCCCCCACCTTAAGGTGCAGGGTAGCTACTGTGTCCTCTCATCTACTGGGGAAAACTCAAACACACAGACGTGGTGCCTGTGTGTTGGAGTAGGGAGTAGCAGTAGGGCTATGAGTAGATCCAAACCAGCTAGGCACCTCTCACCATGGGCAACTCCAGAGTGGAATATGGTCCAGCCCATTTCAAGGTGATTGGTTCTGTAGCCTACACTGTGAGTCGAGGTGAGCCCAACTATATGTATTTAGTTGCTACCTCTCAACCTCATGCACAAGCTCAGGCTCCTTCCCCACCAAAGAGGTGATGTCATGTTCCATGTCTCCAAAGGCAGCTTTGGTAAGACAGAGTCAGAGCGACTGTTCCCTTCTTCAGGGGTCGCCACAGCGAACTAAGTCGCACGAACACTTGGCAATTATTTTTACACCAGATATCCTTCCTGATGTAACCACAAACCAATGAGCTACCACAGCCCTCTGTGTGGAGCAGATAGCTGCTATCTAGGATGTACAGGGGAGCAGATAGTGAGGGTTAAGGGCCTTGTTCAAAGGCCCAGAATGGGGCAAATGAAGGTGGAGGAAGGTGTGGGTGCTTCACCTATCTCACCCACATTTTGATGTTGTTGGTACCGGGAGAGGAAACTGCAATCTTCCAATCAAAGGCCCACCTTCTCTAACCTTTGCACCACCACTCTCTTGGCACTTTAGTTAGAAAGTTTTTCCTTTATATTGTATACATTGCATATGCTTTAACTAAAGTTTCAGGCCATCTTCTCTCAGCCTGTCTACAGTTTGTCTTTTCATTTTAAACCATCATGAAGTTAAACTCTGGTTTTAATTTATTACAAATTGTTTCAAGCCTGGTCAGAGATTTGTGCTCATCACCAGTATGTCCATCCATCAGGGAGCTGCTGGAGACCACCTGCCGCCTAGCAAACACCCTGAAGAGCCATGGGATCCACAAAGGAGACAGACTGGCCATCTACATGCCAGTGTCACCACTGGCTGTGGCTGCCATGTTGGCATGTGCTCGAATTGGTGCCGTACACACAGTGGTGTTTGCCGGATTCAGCTCAGATGCCCTGGCAGGACGGATCCAGGATGGTGAGTGGTCCTTCAGGTTCTCATTAACAAGTTTCCATCAGGTATAACTAGGCAAAAGGTGTTGCAGAACCAATAGATCAGTTCTACAACACAATACATCCGGTCCTTAGGTGACAAAGATGAAGCTTTGAATTTAAAACAGTAACATAAACATCAGCTTTAGGAAAGAAGTTTCTTTAAAGCAGGAATGTTCAAATTTTGTTTTATTTCTATCAAGATTCTACAGAGATGCTCAGAATCCTCAGAGATCCAGAGGTTTAAACCCAAAATGAAGAACCTCTGAAAATAATAACATGCTGTTAAAATAATCCTTTTTGTAACCAGAGTATTTCAAAAAGTTTTAAGAAAGGGGAGATCAGAGGAAACTCTTGACAGTCTTTATGTTGAAGACATCTTCAGTCTGATCTGGAATCAGCTGGTTTTAGACTCTGAACCATGAAGGAGGCTGACTGTAAAACAGACTCTGGAGGATCTTCAGGTAAAGCTTCATAAAACATGACTTTACTAAGAAACATCTATCCATTATCTTTACCCACTTCTTGCTCTTCGTGTCACGGGGGTCACTGTGCGAGTGGCGGGTTACACCCTGGACAGGTCTCCGACCCATCACAGGGACAAAGGTTTAATTAACTTTTTTTTTTTTTTTTTTAACGTAACGCAAACCTTTTCCAAAAATATTTTCTCATTTTCACCTTATTGAGTTTGAGAAACAGAATCTATGAAGCCTGTTTCATTTATCAGAGTCAGAGTCAGAGTTTCTTTATTGTCATTCGCACCTCATGTGGTACATGTGGTGGAGCGAAATTATGTACACGGGGTCCCAGTTACATCCAACAATAAAAATGTCTAAGAAAAACAGTAATAACATCTAAGATATGAACTAAGAAAAACATCAACTAAATATACACTAAGCACTCATAACATAAAACATTGAACATCAGCACAAACATGAACATGAGTCTGTGAGCAGATGTGCACGCATGAACACATCAACATTGAAACAGATCAGCAGCAACATGAAACAGATCAGCAGCAACATGATATGGTTTTTCACAGTGATTATTCTAGTTAGAGATTCATGAGTCTAACAGCCTCAGGGTAGAAGCTGTTCCTCAGTCTAGTGGTTCTACACTTAATGCTCCTTAACCTCCTTCCTGAGGGGAGTGGGGCAAAAAGTGTGTGTGCTGGGTGAGTGGGGTCCTTCATGATGCAGGTGGCCCTCTTCCTGCATCTGGAGGTGTAGATGTCTGTGATGGTGGGGAGGCTGATTCCGACAGATTTCTGTGCAGCCTTCACCACTCTCTGCAAAGCTTTTCTTTCTGCAGCTGTGCAGCCTCCATGCCACACATTGATGCTGGAGCACAGGATGCTCTCCACTGCACACCTGTAGAAGGAGGTGAGGACTGAGCTTCCCAGACCAGCTCGCCTCAGCCGTCTGAGGAAGTAGAGTCTCTGATGAGCTTTCTTGATCAGGCTGGTGGTGTTGTTGCTCCAGCTGAGGTTGTCATTCATGTGTACACCCAAGTACTTGTAGCTGGAGACCACTTCCACCGCAGATCCTCTTATGTTCAGGGGGGTGTAGGTGTTTTTGTTCCTTCTGAAGTCCACAATCATCTCCTTTGTCTTCTTCACATTGATGTGAAAGTTATTCTCTCTGCACCAGCTCTCCAGGTGTTCCACCTCTTGCCTGTAGCTGGACTCATCATTGTTTGTGATGCATCCCACCACCGCTGTATCATCTGCAAACTTTACAATGTGACAGCCTGGATGGGTAGCTGCACAATCATATGTGAGCAGAGTAAACAGAAGGGGGCTCAACACACATCCCTGAGGAGAGCCAGTGCTGAGGGTTATGGTGGAGGAGGAGAGGTTGTGGATCCTCACTAACTGTGGTCTGTTTGTTAAAAAGTCTAGTACCCAGTTGCAGATGGAGGGGCTTAGTCATAGTGTGGATAGTTTGTCCATCAGGTCTGGTTTTAAACTGATTGAACTAGTTTTAAAAATGATGTGGTAAACACATCAGAGTTCATCAGGAATACCAAGTCAGGTTTGGTTTGAGGTAGGAACCCAGAATGCAGACTCTACTCAAGGAGCTCAATTTCTAAATTTATTTATTAAAAAAAGGCAAAAACAAAATGCTGATAAGGCAACAAAAACTTACAGAAAACTCAAGAGACACAGTCAACATACAGACTGTGGCATATGACCAACAATGCACCGCTGAAGTGGAGATGAAAGGACCTGAATATAAAGACTTAGGAGGAGTGGGAGATGGGCAGCAGGTGAGAATTAAGGCTCCCACAGACTCGGGTGGACTTCAGCTCGTGGATTGTCCGTTCGTATACCGGATTAGACTCTAAGCGGACGCCCGCAAGGAATGTCCGTGCAAAGATCAACTTTTATGACTGCGTACACATACTAGATGTTGCACAATAAACTGCCCGGCGAAAGACTGTTTTGTATGCAACTTCAATGTATTAAATTCCCCTTCTTCATCTGTGGTCTGGTTTAATGGCCTTTCCTTTTGTTTTTATGTCAAGAGGAAAGCAATCTCTTCCTCCTTGTCCGTTGATGCCATGACTGAAATTGTGAAAAATTAAGGAATTTGTCAAGAGAGAATTAAAATCAGGTCCAGAGTGGCTGCGGGAGGGTCTGGAGATGTGTGGGCTGCAGGGCCAGCGCTCCTTGTTTTTTTTGGGGTTTTTTTAAGAACTTTTTATTAACAAGATATAAACACAGAACACTGCTGATAGATGTGACTGCTGCTCTGTTGCTGGTTGGAATGCTGTATATGTATTTCAGGAATTATAGAATCAGAACATTTAGACATTTTAAATATAAATGAGATGTCAGGATGAGTGGTAACAGAAATTAATATGTTCCAGGTTTATGGCCTGATCAACAGAACAAATCCTTGAGTGGATCATCTTCCCTCTGACTGCATCTTTAAGATGTTTGTTTAGTGTTTGGAGTCTGATTTTATCACCGAGTGTCCTCACAGCTTTACAGCATTTTACCAGGTCCACAGTCCAAATACTTAAACCAGCCTGGAATACAAACAATAAAACTGCAGGTTTCTGATGTGACGGCAGGAACACTGAAGTTCAGTTACATATTAATACGTCTTCATTCAAGTCATTTTACATTTAAAAAAAAAACAGAAACTCTGAATGTTGTTGATATTTGGGTAGATTTTATAAAATTTAAAAAAATGTAGTTGTAAAGTTATAATGATATTAAATCACCATAAACACAAACCAGTGGAGCCCTGGTAAATGGTAAGGGTTGCATTAGGAAGGGCATCCAGCATAAAACAACATGCAAGTTCGTGTAAACAATGTCATACCTGATCGGTTGAGGCCCGGGTTAACAACGACCACCACCAATGCAAACAGGGTGCCAGTGGAAATGGTGCTACTGTTAGTTGAAGACCACGAGGAGGGAAACCTGTCAGGTGACAGAGAGAGAAGAGGAAAGTCAAGAGTGTAGGACTGAGGGTGGGAACTCTAAATGTGGAGACAATGACAGGTGAAGGTAGAGAACTGCTGACATGATGCAGAGAAAGAAGATAGAAGGATGTTAGAAATGCAGCTACCAGGGGAAAAAAAAGAGATATATGGATGCAGCTAGAGAGGACATGGAGGCAGTTGGAGTGAGAAAACACAAGAGGACACAGTGAGTTGGAGGATGACTTGTTGTCTGTCGAGACTCCTGAAGAGGGAACAGCCAAAAGAAGAAGAATTGCTATTTTATTACATTTATTTCTCTTTTAATGTTCATACTGTTCTTGCTGTGAGTGATTGGTATTCCAGTGGAACAAAAAGATAAGAGAACCAAGTTTGAAGCCCTGAGGAACTCCACGTCTTATTTTAACATTGTTTCTATAAGATCCACCATACTGTTCTCCATGTGTTTTATTCCAGCTCAGTGCAAAGCTGTTATCACCTGTAATCAAGGTGTGAGAGGAGGCCGACTCATTGAGCTCAAAGCCACAGTGGATGCTGCAGTGAAAAACTGTCCATCCGTCCAACATGTCTTTGTCTCTCAGAGGACTGAAAACCCTACAATGATGGGAAAACTGGACATTCCTCTGGAGGAGGTGGGTCACATGCTCAGTATCACACAATACACCTGTTTAACATGTCATACATACGTAACCAACACACCTGGTCCTGATTAATAACTCGCTGGTACTTCTAAAACCACATCCTTCTGGTTGTCCCTCAGGTGATGTCCTCTGAGTCTGCCGTTTGTCCCCCAGAGTCTCTGGACAGCGAGGACCTTCTCTTTCTGCTCTATACATCAGGAAGCACAGGAAAACCTAAAGGACTTGTCCACACCCAGGCTGGTTACCTGCTCTACTCCTCTATGACTCACCAGGTATTTCTCCATGACTCAGCAGGTATTCCGCCATGACTCAGCATGTATTCCTCTATGTTTCAGCAGGTATTCCTCAGTGACTTGCCAGGTATTCCTCCATGACTCAGTAGTTATTCTTCCATGACTCATTAGTTATTCTTCCATGACTCAGTAGTAGTTCCTCCATGACTCAGTAGTAATTCCTCCATGACTCAGTAGTAATTCCTCCATGACTCAGCAGTAATTCCCCCATGACTCAGCAGGTACACTGCCTAGCCCCCCAAAAAGTCGCCACCTGGATTTAAGTAAGCAAATAGGTACGAGCCTCCTATTGGATAATTACTGCATGGGTGATTATCTTTCAGCTGCAACAAGTTACTAAACCCCAACTGGTGCAATGAGTTGCTTCTCATTTCTTAAACAACCATGTTGAAAGACACATCGCGTGGTCATGGAAAAGATGTCTGTTTGAGAAGGGTCAAATCATTGGCATGCATCTCAGAGAAAACTTCTAAGGAGATTGCAGAAACTACTAAAATTGGGTTAAGAACTGTTCATCACATTATTAAAAACTGGAAGGATAGTAGAGACCCATCATCTTTGAGGAAGAAATGTGGCCGGAAAAAAATCCTGAATGATCGTGATCGGCGATCACTTAAATGTTTGGTAAAATCAAATCAAAGAAAAACAGCAGTAGCACTCAGGGCTATGTTTAATAGTGAAAGTAAGAGCATTACCACATGCACAATGTGAAGAGAACTCAAGACATTGGGACTGAACAGCTGTGTACCCTTAAGAAAACCACTAATCAGTGAGGCTAACCAGGAAAAAGGCTTCAGTTTGCTAGGGAGCATAAAGATTGGACTCTGGAGCAATGAAAGAATGTCACGTAGTCTAATGAGTCCAGATTTACCCTGTTCCAGAGTGATGGGTGCATCAGGGTAAGAAGAGAGGCAGATGAAGTGATGCACCTATCATGCCCAGTGCCTGGTCATCAATGCAAATCTTGGTGAAAAAATAATGCAACACTGGATGGAAATAGATCTTATGGCATTACAGAAGCTTATTGAAACAAAGCCACAGTGAATGGATGCCGTAATCAAAGCTACAGGTGGTCCAATGAAATATTAGTGTGACCTTTTTTTTTGGTGGCAACTTTTTTTGGGGCCAGGCAGTGCATTTCTCCATGACTCAGCGGGTATGTCTCCATGACTCAGCAGGTATTCCTCCAGGACTCAGCAGGTATTCTACCATGACTCAGAAGGTATTCTTCCATGAGTCAGCAGGTGCTCCTCCATGACTCAGCAGGTGTTCCTCCATGACTCAGTAGTTATTCCTTAATGACAATGCAGTTATTCCTCCATGACTCAGTAGTTATTCCTCCATGACTCGGTAGTATTCTTCCATGACTCTGCAGTAATTCCTCCATGACTGAGCAGGTATTTCTCCATGACTCAGCAGGTATTCCTCCAAGACTGAGAAGTTATTGTTCCATGACTCAGTAGTATTCCTCCATGACTCAGCAAGTGTTTCTCCATGACTCAGCAGGTTGTTCCTCCATGACTCAGCAGTAATTCCTCAAAGACTGAGCAGGTATTCCTCCAAGATTGAGTAGCTATTGTTCCATGACTCAGTAGTATTCCTCCATGACTCAGCAGATTGTTCCTCCATGACTCAGCAGGTATTCCTCCAGGACTCATCAGTTATTCCTCCATGACTTAGCAGTTATTCCTTCATTACAAAGCAGTTATTCCTCCATGACTAATAGTTATTCCTCCATG